AGAGAGGTCGGGGGGTGATGACATTTGTAGGTAGTTGCCAGTCTAGTAGTTGTCAGTTTAGTAATATTTAACTAATAAGTAATAAATGTAGGTAAAATTTATTGTTTTCTCCATCACAGTAGCAGTATACGATTTATTTTAATTTAAATGTAAGAAAATCGATTTTTCTTTAGAAAATAACAAGAAATTATTATACAGGATGAGGCAGTAAAACGGCGATTTTCTAATGTATTTAAATGGTAAAATCCGTTTCACTATCCCACCCTTTACATTTTAAGGATCTATGAAAAGGTTTTTTTAGTTGCATTTTATTTTGTACATTGTCAATCTAGTAAAATAGAAGTATAATATAGCTTTGAAATAATATAATCTGTGAAGTATAAATAGTTTGTGTGTGATTGCTTTAATGGAAGTATATAATACATAAATATTAATTTTATTGAGAATAAGCGATTATAATTTAAACTATGGAGTACAAACGATTGAAACATGAATCGTCGACCATTCCAACAAAATATAACAAGACATTGTATATGTGTTATTTGGTCCACTAAGTTTTTGCAAAAAAAAAAAAAAACAGTACAGTGGGGTCGGGGCATAGTGGGGACGGAGCATAGTTGGGTCGGGGCATATTGGGGACGGGGAGGTCACAGGTTTACAGGAATTTTTAAATCTGAAAGTGATAAAATCACTTTCGAAAAAACGCTTCGATGCAAATCGGTAGTTAGTATTTTCAAGCCAGTACAGTCCAAACCAAGCACAGTATAAACCAGCAAAGTTAGAAAGTTTTAAATGAAGGTTCTGTATTTACAAATGAGCATCAAAGCGTTTATTTGAAAGCGATTTTATTCAATTTTATCACTTTTATTTATAATAATTCTTGTAGACCTGTGACCTCTCCGTTTCCTCATTGCTTTGATTACATTATGCCAATACTCTACTGTACTAGTCCTCTCGGATAAAATCACTTTCAAATTAACGCTTTGATGCTCATTTGTAAATACAGAACCTTCATTTAAAACTTTCTAACTTTGCTGGTTTATACTGTGCTTGGTTTGGACTGTACTGGCTTGAAAATACTAACTACCGATTTGCATCGAAGCGTTTTTTCGAAAGTGATTTTATCACTTTCAGATTTAAAAATTCCTGTAAACCTGTGACCTCCCCGTCCCCAATATGCCCCGACCCAACTATGCTCCGTCCCCACTATGCCCCGACCCCACTGTACTGTTTTTTTTTTAAATTATCTTCGTTACAAGTATGCTAAACAAACAATAGTATTTTTATTTGCAAGCACAGAACTTAACTATAATGGGAGAAGTCTTGTAAATATTAAATGTATTATTTGAGTTGTACGCGTTACTCTTATCGGTTAACCTACGTTTAAAGTTTTCTTATCAAAAATAGTTCCTTATTATTTCACGTTATAATTATAATATTAAGTCAATACTCAAATCACTCAGTTCGTCGTTTGGAATTCAATAAAGTATAACCACAAATTGGTTTGGCATTTTTTTTTAAGATAACAAAAAATAGATGACTTCAAATTGACAGTGTTTCATAACAAGTCGTTTAGGGTTTTTTCAGTTAAAAATATAACACATAGTACATACTTTTGGTTAAGTTTTTTAACATGAAAAACAATTGTTATATTAGCACCGCGGCTCTGTTGTCAAAAGAACGGTTTTTTTTCTTTCGTTTTTAGCGGCCAGTGCACGAGCTCTCACAATGACCACGGTAATTATTGTGATTGATTTCTGGCTGTGCTAAGACACTTGAGTACACATAATATTACAATAATACATAGACGATGGTTGTTCGCGAGTAAAGAGGTATAATATAAAGGCGATTGATAAAAAGAAAACCGATTTATCACAATTACACGGGTATTGTGACCGGTACATTATAATATTGTTGCTGCTATTATTAGTATTGTAACAACGCGGATGGTGTTTTTATTTGTATATATTTTTTTTTCTTCTTTCACATTGGACCATCCATACAAGGTACCGTCAATCGTCGTGGCCCCCAAAGTCGTATTATAGGTACACACACACACATATACACACACTCGAGCACGGGATCGTTTGTTTCCTCGACCAATCGCTATTAGTTTACCACATTGTTGTCTTCTTGATAAAAGCATAATATAACACACACACAAGTACCTATAGCAATGCAGTATATGCTCACAATAACCCACAAATAGACGTGTTCGGGCTCATACTAAACCGTACCAAGTGGTTAAAATAGCAAAACGTTAAGTCAAACCTAAAATAACGGTGTCATCAGGTGTGATTCAATGTGGCCATCTATCACCCTATTTATTTTTAATAACCGTTAATACAGTTTTTTAGAATTGTACAATTTTATTATTTGCTGATGATCTGAAGATAGGTAGATCTGGTAGACTCTGAGATTAGCACTGTTAGTGAGATTAAAGACCTTGTAGGATGCCGTCTGTACAAAAGCAAAATATGCTTTAGTGCGTTCTGTTTTAGAGTCTGGCTCAGTGGTTTGGAACCCTCGGCAAACTGGCTTAGTTGAGAAAATGCAAAGAAGATTCATAAGAAAAGTTGCTTACAAATTAAACTATTATTATTGTGGGTTGCCCGCTGCAGATATTAAAAGCCAATGTAGAATATCCCCTCTAAGTAGGTATCTATTATGACTCCCTATTCTTACATAAACTTCTAAACGGATCGGTCAGCTGTCCTGAGCTTTTGCAAGATATCGGTTTTAGGGCCCCACCAGTCAGTACTAAACAACACACCTTATTCCATTTAGCACCTCCTAGTAATCGTACTTTTGTTATACATAGCCCCATTAGAAGGATTTTGAGTTTTTCTAATGAATTCTTATAAGATTTCGATTTCTTTTTTGATAATAGACTCAAGTTAAAATGATTCAATAGGTTTCAGACCTATAATAAAATGCATTTACGTTATTTTTATTGTATTTTAATGTAGTGTTATAGGTTGTGTAAGATTAGGTTGAGCCAGCACAGTGGAAACTGAGCATAATGGGCGTCGGGCAAGTCAAGTTTAAGTAGAATTTCGAGAAAACGATCGGATCAAGTTTATAAGAAATATATTTTTTTTTCGGTGTTTCAATAAACATGTAATTAGACCAGTTTTAGAGACCTTTGCGGTAACATTTAGAAAAAATGTAATAAGATAATTTTAAATAGTTGTCCATAAATATATTGACTTCCTGGTATTTTTTTACCGAAGATGAATGTTGCAGTAAAAAAAAAAATCTTGTAGACTAAAAAGCCAATACAACGGGAATGGGGCGTAGCGAAGACGAGGAAGTCACTGGTCGACAGCAGTTATTATATTATCTGAATGTGATAAAATTACTTCCAAATACACGCTTCGACGCGATTCTGTGGATAACCAAAGTTCAATGCGAGCACAGTAAGAAAGTATCTACTTTCAGTGTAATTTTCAGACCTAAAAAAGTAAAATAAAAAAAAAGTCTCCTCACGTTGAGCGGGGAAGGGGTTTTCGGTATTTCTTTTTTATAGTTTTTACCCAAAACAAGAAAAATAATTGCTCGGAAACGCGAGTGAGCTTTTGGAACACCGTCAACAGTAGCTGTCGAAAGGAAACTCAGTGACTTACAAGGAACAAAAGCAAATACCATTTGAAAGCATACCAATATTATATTATGAATACCTAGTATTCCAGGAAGAGAGCATACCTGCTATTTCTGGCTCTATATTTACAAACCCGCCAAGTGTGGCCAACGAATGTAATTATACATTATTGATATCCAAACAATAGTCTCGAGTAAGTCGTTATGGGTTCCGTTTAAAATGTATCCGTATTACAATCAAAAGCCTTTGCATTGTGTCGCTCGTTTGAGCTCCAACCGCAGAGTGTACAAAACAGATCCAATTGATCATTTTGGAGAACTTAAAATCAATCTGCCCACATTAACCGATTAAAATATAGGTTTTGTTCTCTTAAACTTTTTCCCAACCTTAAATTTATGCAATTTTAAATTACCTTTTGTTTGTATATTATATTTGACCATTTAAAATACAAACAAATAGTCCGAAAAAAATATAATCAGTATATTATAAAGTTCATAAAAATGTCTCATTGACAACCATAATAATTTCACAAGAAATTCTTACATGTCTACTAAACTAAAAATACCTACGTATCTTCTAATTAGTTAAAACCGTTTAGCATGCACGAAAACCGAATAGAAAAAGTGGTGTTATTAAGTTTTTGACTTCATTTGAAGAAAAAAAAGAGGTACTTATAGATTTCCGAAATGTGGGTTTTCGGATTGATTCAATAGGGTTCAACTATTGACTCAAACCTAGTTTCAATGCTATTGTATAATTTCACAATCATCAGTCAAAACCCAAGTCCTAAGACCACGTGCCCGATAAAAGAAGAACAAACCAAAGATCAAATGGTAGCTTTATTGGTTCTTGACGGTTGAAAGAGCTCAAAGAGAGCTATGTAATTGTTTTGGCTAAATAGAAAATAAGCTTGTTTTTAGACTTCGTTGAATAAATCTACAAATAAGAACCATAAATTCAGAAAATCACTAAATAATCTAGTAAATAAATTAAGTAAACGAGTAAACAAACACAATAAATGAGTATGTCAGGTCATGTAAGTTTGGTTGAGTAAATGAGTAAATATAATGAGCAAACCAGTAAAGAAATTGAGTAAAGGATTACATAAAACGAGCAAACGAGTAATAAAAAGTCAAGTAAACGAGTAAATAAATCGTGTGAATACACTTTTAACTCGACCCCCAGCCTAAAAAGATAATCGTATCAGGGGCGTATTGTGGGGGTTGCTGAGGGGGCTACAGCCCCCCCGACATTTTTTTAGTCTGCCTATAATATGTGCATTTTAAAAGCTTAATTTTGTCAAGTTTTTATTAGGAGTTGTGCCTCAGCCAAAAAAAAAAATTTCTAAATACGCCCCTGCATCGTGTAAATAATAATTTTTTGTATTTTTTTTTTTTACCTCAATCGTTTGGCCTCGTCAATAAATGGACGTTTTTGGGGTTCGTTGAGCAGTTTCCACTCGGCGCCCAGTCTTTTGCTGATTTCGGAATTGTGCATTTTCGGATTTTCCTGGGCCATCTTGCGCCGTTGGCCCCTGGACCATACCATGAAGGCGTTCATTGGCCTCTTGATGTGCTGTTGGCCGGCCGGGTCGGTGACCGCGGCCGGCGGGACACCGGCGTCGGGGTGGCCGCGGTGCTGGTGGAGACGGCCTCCGCGGTCGTCGTAGTGCTGATGCACTTGCCGGTGATGGTGACGCGATTGTTGTTGTTGTTGCAACAACATCGCGGCCGCCGTAACGGCCGTCATGTCGTTCATGTCGAGCAGCCGTCGGACGGTACGAGTGGACTAGTCGGCGTCTTGTCGTGCGCGGACGAAGCGGTCGGACGCGAGTTGGACGGCTTGTGGCGCGCGAGAGAGCCGCGAGAGAGCCGCAAGGACGTGACGGCTGCCGGAGTGCGTGTGGCACACGCGGTGTCGGCCGGTGTCCGCGGCGGCGGCCGCCAATCGCGAACAGTTGGTCCCGCCTATTATCGACCGCGGACCGCCGTCCCATTGGTCGGCCACGGTTTTCGCGACCGGCCGGCGCAACAAGTGTTCCGAGTGCGGCGGCCGCGCCACCCGCCCCCGCAAAACCGTTTAGCCGTGCCGTAATGCACGTGACTAATAACAAATTAACGCGTCCATTATCGCGCGGCCGTGCCATATATAATACACCGTCGGTAGCGGTTTGCCTTTGTCGCGGAGCCGATGAGGTATTGTTTTTTTAACAACGATGAGTTTTTTATTTGTTTTTTTTTCATTTTTTTTTTTGTATCTGGCCATGATCTAACCTAACCTAACCTATCATAACCTAACCTAACCCAACCTAACCCAAGCCAACCTAACCTAATTTTTCCTTTTAATCGCCGAAATCGGGGAGACTGCTCCGCGGTAGGCAACGTTTGTGTTTTTTTACAATTTCGAATCTTGTTTTTACAAATCCTGTTTTCCCCTTAAAGCGCCACAGTGGTCGGAATAAAAAATCAACTTGCCAAAATGAATACCTCTTGAAATGTATTCTATAAGAATATGCAATACAACGTTCTCATCCATTCTTAGGTCACCGAATCATCATTTTATTTGAATTTCCTAATCCTAATCCTAGGTATGTAAAAAAAAAAGTGGTAAAATTACACTTTAAGTATTGACCTAAAATTCCAGCAGTATACCTGCTGTTGTAAATTTCAGCTAGCCATGTGTGAATAAGTAAACAGTGGGCACATATGAGAAAAATATTGTTATTCCATTGAGAGTAATTAATCTTAATTATTGAGATATATGGATAACAACGGCAACAACAGCCGATCGCCCTACTACCAAAAATACAATTTTAAGGACATTACTTCTTTAATAAGGCGTTTTTTTTATTGGATGAAGAGTGTAGGGAAAATATGGCGAATAACATAATTGTTTATATTTAAACTTTCTGATATTATCTTCAGGTAAGGTACACAATAATTAAATAGTAAATTCAATCACTATGATTTTTAATGTTGTCCTTGGGGTCAAGATGGCTAGCACTACGCGTATTGAAGGATTTTTCAACGCCTACAAGTCGATTGAAACTATAGCGAAATTTGGTCGTGGAAAAATAATAAAAAATATCTTGTTAAATAAAATATAAAGAAATACATCATTAGTGTGCTGGCCAATAATGTTTGTTTGGAAAATGTCACAAATAGGTCGTTTGCGTTGTAAACAGCTTTCATTTGCCGTCGTTGTTAATAATTGTCTTGTTCTGTCCACCGTTGTATGTATTGAATTTGTTCAACGTTTTGTGTAATACTTAAGTGTCGATCGACGAAAATGGTAAAACGGTTCATGCAATTGGCTAGCAACTATTCGGCCGTGGTTGTACAACGTATTAACACCGACGAATATGAACAAAAATTTAAGTCGGCATCGACCAATCAAGTCAAGTCAAGGTCCGAGTACAGCAACTGGACTTTGCTTCCCGGATTCGTCAGGGATTACCAGAGGAAAAACAGCCAGGTCAAGATGCCTTACCGACTTGAAATCAGCAAAATATATTTAAACGATTTTATGCCTGTTAAGTGGCGAGTGCAAACCGTGATTGGATCCGATGAAAAAGTAAAAATACTAATAAATTACATTGAAGAATGTAAGAACACCAATTCTTGCTGTTTTTGATGCATCTCACCTTAGAAACACTAAACAGCCGTATATGATATTTTCGTAATAAAAATTGTGATTTTATTTAATTTTTGGTATTTTGTCGCGTTCGATTGGAAAATTCATGTGTATAATGTTAATGTAAAATTGTTAAAACTATAATTTGTGTAATATGTAAAACTGTAAAATCTTCAATGTATGTATCTTTTAATGTATAAAACTGTGAACGTATGTTAAAACTAAATTTAGTATAATATAGAAAATTGTAAATGTGTTTACCAATCAATGTATCAATGTAATAAAATAAGACTAAAAACTCAACTGTCTAAATAAGTCTCTCGTTTCACCAAATATTTGACGGCAATGTTGCAAAAGTGTAATATAAGTTGAAAATAATAGTAAGTTGATGTAAATGTGGAAATTCATACCTAAGTTGTGGTACTAATATGCAATATGGTTGTTAAATATGCATACCAATGCACCTCTAATACATATAACGTAAGCCAATCATGGAAAAATGAGCTTGGATTACTAGTTTAAAACTATATATGTATAATATAGCTGTTCTCTCAATTTTTTCCCCTTTGTTACTTCAATAGTTCTGATTTTCCAGTTAACCATACTCACCAATTATTATTAATCTTTGTATATCGGTCTGAACATATTCACAATAGCTTTGGAAACACACAAATCAATTTCATAATACTAAGCGATTCACTCAGTAGTCTTGATGCCATAAAAAATATGGAAAATTCACCAAGCTTATCCAAGAAGAAAATATAGAGCTACTGAAAAAGAAAAAGAAATTCATTTTATATGGATCCCTGGGCACATTGGTATACCAAGAAATGAAAAGGCAGACCGATGAGCACTCAAAGCAACCTCCTTAACGGCTTCTCCGTTTCTAAATAATTCTACATACTCTGAAATAAAAAAGCCGAGACGGGACAAAGCTTTACAATATACAGTCTGGAGTATTGACTTTCTTTTAATCTTATTTGTAATTATTTTACTCAGCCCTGGCAAACTAAATCCCGGGCAACTCCGGGGCGGGATAGCTTGTTTATTATAAAACATGTTAAATCTATAAATGTACTATATACTAATATGGTCTAAGTTGCCCTTATATTAAGGATTAAAAAAAAAAATTAATAACATATTATATAACATCAAATTAACCCTATCGACTGTCGTTTCTGCCTAGCCTAACCAACTAGCTAAACAGACACGTTACAATATACACGTGTAAAAAAAAACATGAGTTGTCATTCATGCATTTTTGACTAAACCCTTTAAACAATTAATTTGGCCATAATAATTAAATTATCACTTGTGTAAAAACTAAATTTACCATGCTATAAATTAACCGTCTTAATTAAATAAAAAAATGTGGTCTGATGTAAAACGAACACGTCGTTAAGTAACAAATTATTATTCGTAAAATGTATGGCTAACCAAATATAACGAACAGATAATTATTTTTTTTCTTAAAAAACATAAAAAACCACGTTGACGCTTAAATAAAGTTGATAGTTTCTACAATGGCGAATAATATTTCTTTACTTACATCGAGAAGTTAGCCAGCAGACTTGCTCATATTTCCAACGGATTAGAATCTACTTTTGGCCACAGAAATATGATGCACTCTGTCGAACTACTGGCGAAAATAATTGTTGTGGGCTTAGTGTGGTCTGTTGGCCCATCTGCAACATCGTTGAAAACTGGCTACGAATATCCAGGGAACGTGACTGTGGCAAAAGATATACTCTACGAGGATTTGAAATGCACATACCTGTACGGCGGACTGACACACATGTTGACGACCAAACACTTGATCGGTGCCTCGTTTTTGGTGCAAACGAAATGGGCTATCCGTAAAATAATCACTTACATCCGAGTCGTGAAATACCAGTTGGATTCGCTGTACCGGTTGAACGTAACGCTTATGGGCGCCTTGTGGCTACTGCATTTGTACTTGGGTATGATATACGGTTTTTACGACACTTCGTTTAACAAGCGGGAAGACGGTGTGCAGATTTGGGCCACTCACGACTATGTTATCGCCGAATTGCGTCGAGACCTAATCGTTTGCCGCGAAAACAATTCGTTCGACAGCTACCAGAGGACGATCGCCACGAATCCGAATCTGTCAGCACAGAAGTTGAGTGATTTGATGAACGCCAACATTGTCGGAGCCACCGAGCTACTTACAACGAACCGCGGTCAGCCTTTGAACGAAAACGTCGGCAACACGTTAAACATGGGATGTCTTTTGCTGAACAACTTGGGCGTGAAGGAAGTTTTCAAAGCGGATTTAATGGACGTGTTCAACGTGCAAGTGGACTGGTTCCGCACGAGCCATCGATTGGCTCAATCTTGGCAGAACGGACGTAGACTGTATTGGACTACCGAGAAATTCGCCAACTTAAAAACATACTACAAGCTCAGCTTCGACTTCCTGAAAATCATCATGTTCCGGCTGACGTTGAAACACTTAAATTATCTAAAAGATTTTGTCAAGAAGAAACTATACGTGCGTTACGCCAAAGAATGGTACGAACTGTTCGTACAGTTCAGCGACATGTTGAGCTTGTCCCAAGATCTTCACGTACAACACTTGCTCATGTCTCTCGATAACCTCGTTAAGGAAATAGAATCAATACACAGCTTGGTTAGCTATTTGACTGCGATACTGGAAACGCTTTGTCTGCCTCTCGGATGTGTGGCCACCAAAGAGTTCAATCTGAACGGCGAAGAATTTCAGAAACCCTATAAAAGTGTCGTTAAAGGACGAAATGGACGGTTTGCTAATTACAGAAAGCTTCGAGCCGATCGAGTACCACAGTTTGGAAATCACTAGAGCATTTTTGCACTATCTCGGTCGGGTGTTCAGATACGTCGACTTTAACCTCGTTAGGCTACTCATAGATTATATCTACGAAATAGATCCATAACGGTGTATGCGTGGATTGGAAAATAGTCGTCGCGTTACATATTGGATTTTGATTACATTGTAATACATACAAATATTTTAATTTATATACATTTTAACGTTACAACGATTGCTATATACTTCTCTTAAAATAAACAATCACCTGAACATTTTAAATTAATTTTTGGTATTTTATCTGCTCTATTGTTCG